CATGCATGATTATTCTAGATGGGAAACCACATTTAGTATGTTGTGATGATGCTCAGGGAATGAATGTTAAGTAATTTTAAAAAAAGTTGCAGGAGAAAAAAATAAAACAGTAAAACTGTTCGTATCGAAATTTTTAAAAAATTCATATTTGATGACTGCAGTAAGCTATATAGCCCCAGCTGGGTACTACTTTATAATATGTTCATTCTACTCACTGAGATTTATGCCTAAAGTCAGACTTGGGTTCATGTATAGGTATATATCAGCTGTGCTAGCTATTTGATATATTTAGACTAATTAAGTTCATTAGCAAATCAATTAAATGGAGGAGGGAGGCATAGAAAGCAACCATGGATACCAGAGGCAATGTGGGAGGAGGGTGGGACATGGCAGAGGGTGAGGGATAGGGAATCAAGGATGGCAAAACAAAAAACAAAGTATACAAGACATAAAAATTGGAAAATTATTTGCTGATAACATGTATGTTGATGTGCTTGATTGAGCCAATACACAGTGTATTTTGGATGGAAAATTCATCTGTATGCTGTAATGATGTATAGTGAATTAATGTAAAAAATAAATTTAAAGAGAAAAAAGAATAAATCACATGTAGTAAGAGTATGTATTATTCTATGAAACATTTGTTTTTGTCATATGAATATGTCTATAGTTATATATAAAGATATGCAAATATAGGTACTGGATCATGCTGTGAAATATATTTCTGACTTTAGGTCACAGCCAAACCATTTGACAGCACCAAGCGGCTTAGAGCAGATGTTATTTTGTTTTTCATTTAATTCTATCTAGTGACAGTCCTTTGGTCTCAGAATGGTTCTGCTCTCACTAGGGAGTATAAGAGAGGGCAGGAGAAAGGCTAATGCCAGGAAGACTTCATGGAAGACAGAGAGATTGAACTGGGTGGATTTAGGGACACAGAAAGAAGGGGAAAATGTAATCCTGACAGGGAGAACTGACAGAGGGGCGGATAATAAGTAGAGAACATTTGTTAAACATTTATGTGCCAAGCATTGTTCTAAGTACTTGTATGGATTCATTTAAGTCTCACTAAAAATCTTATGAAACAGATACTATTAAAAGTTTCATTTAATAGATAATATTAAGTAATCTGACCAAGGTCACAAAGTGATAAAGTTGGGATTTGAACTCAGGTAGTCTCTATGTTCTTAACTACCACCCTGCACTGTCCTGTCCTGCCACTAGAGGCAGAGTAGGTGACCAGGAAACAGAGAGAGCCTAGGCCAGAAGGTAACTGACAAAAGAGGGCTTGGAATACCAGATTAAAAGTCCCAGTAATAAGTTCTACTCTCACCTCCAGAAAGGAGATCTCGTTCTTCCCTCACAGCCTCTGGCTCCAGATATAAGGCCTCTAGGGTTGGGGGCAGGAAGCCTAAACACCAAGTGTGGGTGCCTGTTTGAGGCAAGAAGCAAGGAAGGAGGAAAGGAGAAGGTTCTCTCTCTCATTCAAACATGTTACCAAAGGAAAAATAGCAAATGGTTCCTGGAGCTTCTGTCGTCAAGTCCAAATGTCCCATATGTGCCAAGTCTTGAAATCAGCCATTTGGGTTCCTGGGATGAGGGTCTCCTCTGGAGAAGAGTTTGTTGCTAGATCAGCTCTCCTCCTTTACCCCTCTGCCTATTGGCCCACCATTTGAGCCAGGGCTTGAGCCATGTGGTGCAGGCTTTTTCGGCAGAGCTTCTCGCAGGTACCCATTTGCTCTTCATTTGGACTGCAGCGGCCTGGAAAAACAAAGCTCTGAGAAAGGACGAGGGCAGGATGGAGAGTGCTTGGGAAGGTCACTCCCAGCCAGGATTCTTCCGTCCTCCATTCATTTAATCCAGTCCCATCCCCAGAGTCTGGGCAGCCTCTCCAGCCCCTCTTCTCTGAGACAGCTTCGTTTTTCATCTTGGCCTAAGGCCTTGGCAATATGGAGAGATGATGAATTCTCAGTGTTCTCTTGTTTTTTTTTTCAGTCTTAATGTTCTGATGATTCTAGCTATGTAAGCCACAGTAATACCCAGTGACAGATACCTTCCAGGTAAGCAGTTCCTGACAATTTAATGTAATGACAGTAATGAAAATAGTTAACATTTATTGGGAGCTTAGTATATGCCTGGCACTGTGCTAAGCACTTTATTGCTTTACTATTTCATTTGCTCCTTACAAAAATCCTATGAGGTAGGCACTAATATTGCTCCCATTTAAAAATGAGCAGAAAACAGAGGCAGAGAGGTGAAGTGATTAATTGAGAATCAAGTAGCTATACAATGGTTGGGCTACCACTGTAGCTCAGGGCCCTATCATCTAATGCCTGTTTCTGCAGTAGACCCTAAAAGGAAGAGCTTTGGTTCTAAATTTAGACTTGGACATGTGGGATAATATTAGTTCCTAATTCCGGGTCAGATGATGGCACAGTAGTTAAACATGACACTCTGTGAGGTTGACCCACATAGGAGACCTCCTGAGTGTACTGGGCAGCACACATGTGCCCATGATTCAGGGTTGGCTAAAGCTAGAGGTGTATTGATGCATCATGACCCTGTTGGGGTGCTTCCTCTCTGTCTCTGTCTGTCTTTCTGTCTCTAACTCTCTTGCTCCTGGAAAAAATGGCAGAGGGTGAGAAATAGGTGGAAAATATATATATGAAACTAGAAATGGAAAATTATTGATCATAACATGTATGATTAAGCCACTGTGCAGCATATTCAGGATGGGAAATCACATTTTGTATGCTGTGACAATGCTCAATGAATTAATGTAAATTAATTCATTAAAAACAAAAAAAATTTAAAAAAAGAAAATGAGAAAAATGGAAACTTATGGATCAGCCTCCAATAAAATGATCTTGGGAAGCTTAATAAAAAGTAATTCATTTTTAAAAAAGAAAAAAAACTTAATTTTTTTTTGGAGAGGTTTTTGCTATAGGGTGTGTGCGCTCGCCAGACAGACAGAGCGAGACATAGAGACAGAGAGCGAGAAATCAACCCCCAGGGGGGATGGTCATGCTGCAATCCCTTCTCCTCCATTCTCCTCTCAGATCTTGGGCATGCATGCACACGCGCCCGGCGCGAGTTTTAAGCCACCAGGTCCAGGACGCGAACCGCGGTCGACTACGTGGGAGTCCAGTGACATAGCCATTACGCTAACTGCTGGTTCCCAAGAAAAAAAAATTTTTGAGAGAGATTTTTGCTATAGGGTGTGTGCACTCAATGGAGACACAAAGAGATAGAAAGTGAGACATCACCTCCCGGGGGTGATGGCCATACTGCAATCCCTTCTCCACCATTCTTCTCTCAGGATTTTGGGCATGCACATATATGCGCCCAGTGTGAGTTTTAAGCTGCTGGGTCTGGGACTTGAACAGTGGTCAAGTACATGGGAGTCTAGCAATGTAACCATTATGCCATCTGCTGGTTCCGATAAAACAAGCTTTTAAAAAGTAGTTTCTACCTTAAAGGGTAAGAATGCTTAAAACCTGACACGTATTTAGTACTCAGTATTCCTTGGCTGTTACCATTATTATAATTACTCATTATCACTCTCTATCATGGAGTATATTATAGTAATTCATAGTATAGACTTTGGAAGAAGGTCTTGGTTGAAATCCCTACTCAGTAGTTTACCATCTAGGTGACCTTGGGTAAGTTAATCAATCTCTCTGAGCCTCAGTTTCCTGGGGATGGATTTAAGGATGAAATGCAATACTGTAGGTAAACTGTTGTTGGTTCTTTCTGGTTCACTTTCAGGTATCTTCTGTATGCTTGATCATATTTGGCTTCCTGAAACGCAGCTGTTGTCCTGCTTATCCACCTGCATTGGCAACCCCTGACTGATGGTTCCCTATACCTTCAACCTCCTTTTGGCTTCACCCACTTCTCATCATTTCCAGCAGTCTAATTACTACACTGTCTCTGCACATGATCATCTCCATCCTCTCCCCACCCTCACTCAAGAATAAAATATCTTGGGAACCAGCAGTTAGCGTAATGGCTATGTCGCTGGACTCCCACGTAGTCGACCATGGTTCGCATCCCAGACCCGGTGGCTTAAAACTCACGCTGGGCGCGTGTGTGTGTGCCCAAGATCCCGAGAGGAGAATGAGGAGAAGGGATTGCGACGTGACCATCCCCTCTGGGGGGTGATTTCTCGCTTTCTGTCTCTATGTCTCTCTCTGTCTGTCTGGCGAGCACACGCGCCCTATAGTAAAAACCTCTCGAAAAAAAAAAAAAGAATAAAATATCTTCTCTCCTCTATGACAGGGATTTTTATTTTTTTGGCTAGAAGGCATGTTGCTCACCAGAGAGAGACAGAGAGACATAGAAAGAGAAGAGGGAGAAAGCACCCTCTATGGGACATAGTCACACTACAATTCCTTCTCCATATCTTCCTCTTTTTGAGATTTTGGGCTTGTGCACATATGCCCCCAGCATATTTCTCAAGCTGCTGGGTCCAGGACTCTAACTGCAGAGTCGGCCCCGTGGGATCCAGCTCCCTTAACCACCAGGCCATAGAACCAGTCCACCTATGACATGAATTCTACATCTTCCTTCCAAGTCCTCCTTGAAACCAACACTTAACTTCAGGTAGCCTCCAAGCCATAACATATGCCTCCTTCTATGGACCTCTCATATGAGCTCCCCTCCTTTTAACCTTTTCAGCTACATTTTCAGGTACAAAACAAGCCTCTTTATTGAGGTGACCTTGGGAGAGGCTGTAGCTTAGTCCTGTCTCCTCCCTCCTATCAGCTCCTGCCACAGAGGCACTCATTCCATATGAATAGAATGGAATGGTATTTGATACAGAGTAGTTGGTCTATTAAGACTAACAACTTTAGCTGGGCCATGGGGCTCTGGGCTGAGGTGGCTAACAACCATACAAGTGGCATGGGACAGGAAGGAATTCTTTGTAAGTATTTTGACCTTGTAAGAAAGACTTTCAAGATTCCAGAAGATGGCAATTGTAGAGGTAGGTGTTGATTTTGCTAAGACAGCTCGGAAACAAGGCAGGTCAGGAATAGGAAAGGGCATAGCAGAGATCCTTGGGGGAAAGAGCATAAGAATTCTTTCCCTCTTTTTTATTCCCAGCTACCTCCTCTATTGACAGGACATTGCCAAGCATGATTAAAATTTCAATCCCAGCCCGTAGGCCTCTCTTCTCTCCTGATTTCAGCCTTGGCCTAGACCAGCAACCTTAATAATGTGGTCTAAATACCTCCTAAGATTCAGGAGATTCAGTCAAAATTACTGTCATGATAACTAAGACATTATTTGTCTTTTTCTTAGTGTTGACATCTGCACTGAAAGAACAAAAGCAATGGTGAGTGAAAGTGCAGGCATCTTAGCAGGGATCGAGGCAGTGGTACCGCACTGTACTCACGTAATTCTTCCTCAGCAGTGTATTTCTGATGGTAGAAATGTCTTCACTGAAGAATGTCTCAATGAAACAGTAAAAATTAATTTTTTTTTCAGTATCAACCTTTTGAGTATGTCTTTTTGATAATCTGTATGACAAATTAGAGAGAAAACATGCATAAAGCATTTCTACTACATACTGAAGTTGTGAGGAAAAGCACTTATATAATAGAATTGCAAAATAAATTAGCCATTTTTTTTAGAGAGATTTTTAATATAGGGCACGTGCACTTGCTGGAGAGACAGAAAGCGAGAAATCACCCCCCACAGGGGATGGCCACACTGCACTCCCTCCTCCTCCATTCTCCTCTTGGTATATTTGGCATGCAGGCACACATGCCCTGCATGAGTTTTTTTTTTTTTTAAGAATTATTTTATTTAACTTTCTTTCTTTCTTTCTTTTCTTTCTTCTTTCTCCTTCCTTCCTTTCTTCCTTCCTTCTTTCTTCTTTTCTTTTCTTTTCTTTTCTTTTCTTTTCTTTTCTTTTCTTTTCTTTTCTTTTCTTTTCTTTTCTTTTCTTTTCTTTTCTTTTCTTTTCTTTTCTTTTCTTTTCTTTTCTTTTCTTTTCTTTTCTTTTCTTTTCTTTTCTTTTCTTTTCTTTTCTTTTCTTTTCTTTTCTTTTCTTTTCTTTTCTCCCACATTAACCAGCACAATATCTGCCGCCTGCACCCTGCCCCATCCCCCACTGTGAGTTTTAAACTAACATGTCCGGGACTTGAACTATGGTCAACTATGTGGAAGTCCAGCAATATAACCATTATGTCATCTGCTGATCCCAAATTAGCCAATTTTTATGAAACACTTTTTTTTTTTAACTTGGAAGAATAACTGACAGGCAAACTATAGTTATTCAAATTTGGATATTCGGGCAGTGTTTGTTGGAAATGAACAAAATAATGTTACCTCAAGAACAATTGATAGGGAACCAGTACGTGGGGTGGTGGTTAAAGGTGTTGGATTCCCTCATGGCCGACCACGGTTCAAGTCCTTGACGTGGCAGCTTGCTCTCTCACTTTCTCTCTCTCTCTCTCTGTCTGATCAAACTGAAAAATAATAATAATAGTAATAAATAAAGTTAAATAAAATAATTTTTTAAAAAAGAACAATTGATAGTATTTGTTGTCAATGCAAAAATTCAAACCTTCAAGTAAAAAGGACAACATTGGAAAACCAGTATCTACTACCATGAGTTTAAGAGTTTCCCAATACTGTGGCCAGGAGGTGGTATAGTGGTTAAGGGGCTAAGCTCCCACATGGTTGCCCATGGTTCAAGTCCTAGGCCTGGTGGTTTGAAATCACACCAAGTGTGTGTGCATGTCTGTCCAAAGTCCCAGGAGGAGAAAAGATTGTGGCATGGCCATCTACTGTGGGGGATGATCTCTTGTTTTCCCTCTCACTGTCTCTGTCTCTCTCCAGCAAGCACACGAGCCCTATGGCATAAAAAAGTTTCCTAGTACCATTAAAACCTTTCTGATAGAATTAGTAGTGACATTAATGAACATGAGTTTTTAAAATATTATATAATCAAAATGAGTCGACACCTAGAAGATCTGTATAACTGGGTGGACCAATATTTTCCAGATGACAAATGCTTGATGTTACAAAATCGTGCATGAATAACAGATCCATTCAAAGTGCAAGATAGACCAATGGATTTTAATGTAGCAGACTTCAAAAAATTCATTGATATGATTTCAGATTCCACATTGCAAACAAACACTAAGGAACACTTGTGAAGTTTAGGTGGAGTTATTAAGAAGGATCCCCTCATAATGTATTAGCTTTTTATTGCTGCCATAACAAATTACTACAAACTTAATATAACACCTATGTATTATCTAATCAGAAGTCCAGATGGATTCACCTGTGTTCTCTGCTTAGGGTCTCACAAGGCTGAAGTCAGTTTGTCAGTTGGGCTAGACCCATATCTAAAAAATCTGGGGAAAAATTCCCTTCCAAGCTTACTTGGGTCATTAACAGATTCCAGTTCCTTCAGGATGTAGGTCTGAGGTCTCTGTTGTCTTGCTGGCTATTATCCAAAGACTGCTCTCTGCTTCTAGAGCTGTCCACATTCCTTCTCACATGGGCTCCCTCCATTTTCTTTTTCTTTCTTTCTTTCTTTTTCTTTCTTTCTTTCTTTCTTTCTTTCTTTCTTTCTTTCTTTCTTTCTTTTCTCTTTCCTTCTCTTTCTTTCATTATTATCATAACCTTGTTTATATTACATTGAATCACATATAACTTTACAGTGTATTACATTTCTTTTTCCAGAAGGAATACCATGCATAACAGTAAATACAAAGACATTAAAATCCCCATCATCATTATCAAATAGCTTTTCATTATTTTTTTCCATATTATTATTATTCCAATTAGTTTTTTAAACATTCAATCACTATCATTTTCCTTGTAAGAAGACTTTACCCAACATGGAATACTTCTCAGATCAGTCCAGTTGAGAATACTATACATATAATCCATCTTTTTTCTTTTTTAAAAAATAATTTATTTACTTAATGTAATTTATTATTATTATTTGTAAAAAGGTCATTTTTTTCTTTAGGAAAATATAATTTTTTCCATAAATATGTTATTTTTTTATCATGTAAGTTTATAAGTGTGATTTTAAGTTAATAGTTTAGGGATGTGTCAGTTTTAATTTCTCATATGTGTCTTAACAGATATAGCCTATAGAAATGAAAGCTCTTTGGAGTTCTCAATATTTTAAAAACCAGTATTTTTATTTATTTATTTTTTAATTTGCATACATATCTTTTTATTATTCTATGTGAAAAAATGTGGAAGAATACACATAATTTACTCTTGGTGTTCAGCTCCATGAATTTTGAAAAATGCATAGAGTTATGTAACAATCATTAGAGTTCTAATACCTAAAATAATTTCTTCCTTTTCTTTTTTTCTCTCTCTTTTTTTTTTTGGAGAGGTTTTTGCTACAGCATGCATGCGCTCGCCAGAAAGATAGAGAGACAAAAAGCAAGAAATCATCCCCCAGGTGGAATGGCCATGCTGCAATCCTTTCTCTTCCACTCTCCTCTCAGGATCTCAGGCATGCACGCATACGTGCCCAGTGTGAGTTTAAGCCACCGGGTCTGGGACTCGAACCACAGTCAACTACATGGGAGTCCAACGACATAGCCATTATGCCAACTGCTGATCCCACCTAAAATAATTTCTGTGTGCCACATCATTGTAGTCAATTTCTTTCCCCATCATAGCTTCTAGAAACCACTAATCTGTTCTCCATTCCTATAGTTTTGTATTTTTTTTTCAGGTTTTTGCCATAGGTCACATGCATTTGCTGGAAAGAGATAGTTAGAGACAGAGAGAGGGAAAGTGAGAAATCACCCTCCCAGAAGGGTTGGTCACACCACAATCCATTCCCCTCCATTCTCTCAGGATTTGGGGCATGCACAAACATCACTTCACCCAAAATGATTTTCTTTTTTTAATTAAATTTTTTTCCTTACATTCAACCACTGTATATTTTTACAGCATACAGTGAATTTTCCCAGCATGAATACACTGCATATTAGACCAGTCAGAGATGTTACTGTACATATTATCATCAACAGATAATTTTCCTTTTTTTTTTTTTGGAGAGGTTTTCACTATAGGGTGCATGCGCTTGCCGGACAGACAGACAGAGACCTAGAGGCAGAAAGCGAGAAATCACCCCCCAGGGGGGATGGTCACGCCGCAATCCCTTCTCCTCCATTCTCCTCTTGGGATCTTGGGCACGCACGCACATGCGCCCAGCGTGAGTTCTAAGCCACTGGGTCCGGGACGTGAACCGCGGTCGACTACGTGGGAGTCCAGTGACATAGCCATTATGCTAACTGCTGGTTCCCTAATTTTCCATTTTTGTGTCCGATATGTTTTTTTTTTCCTTGATTCCCTCTCTCCTACACTCTCCCATTGTCCACCCTCCTCGCACACTGTCTCTAGTATTCACAGTTGCCCTTTGTGGTTTTATACTTTCCAACCTTTCAGTTTCTGCCATAGTGGGCAGATATTCGGTATATATTAAGTGGGGTCATATGGTATTTCTCTTTCATGGTCTGGCTTGCTTCATTTAGTATTAAGACTTCCATATTCATCCACTTTCTATCAAATGCCAGGGTCTTGGTTTTTATGGCTGAGAAATATTCCATAGAGTATATGTGCCACATTTTTTTCTATCCATTCATCTATTCTTGGACATTTGAGTTGATTCTGTCTTACTAGTTGTCGATAATGCTGCAATGAACATGGATGTGCAAGTGTTTTACTGACTGAGTGTATTTCTATCATTTGGGTAGACATCCAGAAGTGGAATTGCTAGATTATATGGTAGTTCTATTTTTCAGTCTTTGAGGAACCTCCATATTGTTCTCCACGATGGGTGTGCTAATTTATATTCTCATCAACAGTATAGGAGGGTTCCTTTTTCCCCAAACCCTCACCAAACTTAGCTAATCTTAGCCATTCTGACTGGGGTTAGGTAGTATCTTTCTTTTTTTTTTTCTTTAAATTTTTTTTACATTAATTCACTGTACATCATTACAGCATACAAATGAATTTTCCATCCAAAATACACTGTATATTGGCTCAATCAAGCACATCAACATGCATGTTATCAGCAAATAATTTTCCATTTCTTATGTCTTGTAAACTCTGTTTTTTCATTTTACCATGTTTGATTCCCTATCCCTCACCCTCTGCCATGTCCCACCCTCCTCCCACATTGCCTCTGGTATCCATGGTTGCTTTCTATGCCTTTCCCCCCATTTAATTGATTTGCTAATGAACTTAGTCTAAA